CTCTCTCTCTCTCTCTCTCTCTCTCACACAGAGACAGACGCGTGTAGAGCCAAAGACACACGTCTTCTCTTCGTCTCATCTGTGGGAGCCCAACACATGATGTGAACACCCTACGCCCTCTTGAGAAGCGGCTCCGAGAGGGCGGTGGAGTCTCGGATCGCCTCCACCGCCGCCTTGACGACAACAGGCTCGCTGAACTCTCTTTCTGCGGTGACTGCCGCCTGCAGGTCAGCAATACTCAACGTGTCCACCACCGGGGAGCCGCGGCGGACGCGACTCGGGCCGCGGCACAGGTGCAACGCCGAGAAGGACCTCCAAAACCGTGAGGGGTTTTCCTCCACCCAGAACGGCCACGAACGAGACAGGAGCGGGACCCGCGACATCATATGAATGATAAGCCGCTGCAGTTGCAGGATGTCCGGGAAGAAAAAAAGCTTAATTGCCGAATACACGGAGAGCGTCATGAACGGCACCGTCACCACAATAATCCACTGCAGGTAAAAACTGGTATTTTTCAAGAGTTCCAAAAAGGAGTAATTTCCCGAACAAAGCCCATACAACGTGAAAAGCGCAAACAAGGCCACGACCGACCATATCAACGCCACCCAATGAAGCAACGTGATTGAGTGCGTCTCCAGCACTATGATGCATGAGTGCAGCGTCACCAAGGCAAAGCAACTCGCATAAAAGTCACATGTGCGATCTATTGGGTGACCCAAACGCAATACCGCACCGACACTGTCATTGATAAAACATAATGAAAAAAAAATATGATGGTTCCGTGCAGAAATCCTCGTAAAACGTAGCCATAAAAAGTGGTCAAATTCATGTATCTGCCCCTCTGACAGAGGACGTACAACTGGGGATTGTTAAGCAATATGGTCGCCGACAGTGGAAGATTCAGCGCACAGAGGAAAGTCACGGGAACGGTGAAGAAAGAGTTGTACATCATAAGAGAAAAGGAATCCCAAAATGAGACACCAGAAAATTTGGCGTAGATATTGAAGAGTAACTGCATCCATGCGAGAGCGACGGTTTTCCAAAAACTTTGTTGCACTATAATCGCCGAACGCTGGTATGCAGTGTGGCCATGAAACAGCAGCAGCCTAGATAAGAAGCAAAACTCGGACACGACAAAGTCGGACGCCGCAGTCGCCTGAGTGCCTTCTCTTCCTCGGATGCCAACACCCACGTGGGCAGACTGAATCATGGGCACATCATTGCCACCGTCCCCAATGGCCAACGTCACGTGACCTGCCTGATTCACTGTTTGCACAACAAACGATTTCTGCTCCGGCGCCATACGGCTACAAATGACTGTAGAGGCATGCAACAACACTCGTTTAAAGTTCACACGCAGATCTGCATTGCCGGAGTCTTCTATAAGCTCAATGGTTTTCCCTGAAAAGAGAATCACATAGCCCTCGCTCGCGGCTACCGCAGTACTGCCCCTTGCCTCATCCTCATCATCCCGTTCACTCTCTGCGGCATTCTCGTATGGAAGGTACGCACGATTATCACGTAATGGAGTGGCATGCGACGAGTGCAAGAGCAACGACAAAACAGATTCATGGTGAAAGAATTCCCCCACAAAGTCGCGAAGGCCGGATCGCACGTACCAGGAGGAACGGATCTGATGCTGCTTCTCAGCCTCTTGAAACTGTCGCTTGCATAGAGCATAGCTAACACGTTTTTCGACGTAATCTAAATGCTGCTGAAACGAAATGGACTCAACCCCCTCAGGGGTCAGCGCAATTACTCTGTCATCAGCGCCCACAAGCCCACTGGCGATGGCTGTCTGCTTCGCCGTTTGACCATTGTCCCCCGTCAGCATCCACACCCGCACACCAGCTGCTCGTAGCTGCGTGATTGTTAGAAAAACACCGTCCTGCAGTTGGTCCTCCACTGCTGTGATGCCGCAGTAGATGAGCTCCTTTTCCACTGCGTCATATGCCTGAGCGAGACTGTTGGCACGTGCAGCTGCCATGGTGGTCACCTCCCGCTTCCGTATTCCTGCCAGCCACAGCTCCGCCTCCTCGCTTGTCAAGTAGCGGTAGGCACACACCAGCGTACGCAGCCCCTCACTGCTCAAAGCAGTAAGGGTATGTGAGGTTGTTTTGCTGTCGTACGAGGCGGTGATGCACCGCGGCAGCACACTTTCATCTGAGCCTTTCGTAAGAAGAAGATATCGCGAATCCCCATCAATCTGAAGAAGTACACTCGAGCGACGACGCTCTGGCGTGAACGCAAGAACCTTCAGCACGGTTGCCGATTCAACATTATTGCCAAACATTACAAAAGCGCGCTTGCGTGTTCGCTCGAGTAGTTTAACGCCCAAAAGAGTGGCTCCCTCTACCAAGGCCACCTCATCCGGCGAGAGTGACACCCACGGCGAGGAGGGTGAAGGGTTTGACACGGACGGCTGCGCCACATTCAAGGTTATTTGTCTTGTGCTCTCCACAGTATTACAGTACACCAAGACTCGCATCAAGTACAGCAACGACTCATCCTGCAGCAAGGCCCGCCGCAGGGTAGTTGCCTCATGTGGAACACCTGGGGTGAAGACTTTGCCGCTCCTCGTCACAACACTCTTGAGCGTCAATGCGTTACGCGTGAGAGTTCCCGTCTTGTCTGACATGACATACTCCACCTGCCCCAGATCTTCCATGAGCGAGGAATTATGAACCTCGGTGTGATGCTGTTCATCGGACATCTCCGCATCCCACTTGATAAGGGCGCCGTTGAACGCCTTGGATGCATCAACCAATACTTTAAACGAGAGCGGTATCATCGGTGACACCAGTGCGAAGAACCGTAGCGGCAATAAAAGTATATACTCCTCCAAGGCTATTTTTTCCTCATACATGCCAAGATACCAAAGGGTGCGTTGATCCTGTCCCAATGCCGTATCTGACAACGTAATGTACACCGTCACTAAAATAAATTGAATCACAAAGACAACGATAACCATTTGATTAAACCTTTGATCAATCATAGACCACTTTGTGGGCGGTACCATACGCGTCATGGCGACCCGAGTCTCGTTGCCTGTCAGCACCGCCACACCCAGAGCAAAGCGAGTATTTCGTAGCACACTTGAACTGAAGACAACATTTTCGGTACTAACCCCAATCCGTATTTCCTCCCCCTCACCACCGTGCGGCGCTTGTACTTTGGCGGACCCAGTGAAACTGGTAAGAAACGGCTTTGGCCCCTCTGACTCGATGACGCATGCTGCATCCCTGATCCACCCTGCGGCAGCACGTATGTTAAGTTCATCCTCCTGAATGGAATCCACCGTCGCCGCACTCGTCGTCGGACGTTTGGCGTATAGATCAGTTAATATGGCGTAGCGTGTCTTGCAAGCGGTTTCGCCGTTCAGCGCCTCGGTGGAAATAACCACCCCTCCATTTTCATCTGAGGAAAGCAATAAAAAAGCATCACACGGGATCACCTCCATGGGCAACAACAGCAACACGGTTCCAACACGTATGTCTCTGCATCGTACCCGCTCTATTTCCAGGGTTTCCATGTTGATTGTGCTGTACCACCTAGAGTTGCATTCATCGTCGAGTTTGTGCCGGTACCAGTCATCGATGGCCTCTTTAACGGCAGTGATCAGGAAGGCTATAATCAGCGGGAGCAGCGAGGTAAGTGGACTCACAGGGGCCACAGAGGGGATAAACTGAAGCGCCGTAATGAAGAGAAAGTAAAGGTTGATCGGGCGATGAAACTGCTCAAAGAGATTCAATGGCAAGAACGTAAGCAGGGTGTACTTGAAGCTCCTCACCGTGTTGTCGCAGTACGCCTTGGATGGGCTACCGGGGAGCACCGTCCGCGTCTCATCGTCCACCCCCCTCCTTTTCGATCGCCACAAGCGCCTAAGAGCGCCAACGAACCCCATCGGGCCACTGAGCCAAATAAATCAATGACGAGAAGGAGAGAAAGGAGAGATCGCATCAGAAGCAAAAGAGATGTGAAAACACCAGATGAGCCTCATCCCTCCCCACTCCAAAAAATATATATATATATCGGCTCGCATGTAAATGCCCTCCCTCCCTCCCTCGCTCTCTCCCTCGGGGCATTCAAAGGAGTTGCAGCATTTCCTCCATCTTCGTCGCCGCCTTTTCCTTCAACGCCGTGGCAGGCTCAAGGTGAACAAACGTCTTCCCAAAGCGCCACGCAAGCCAGCAGTACATTTCTGCCATTCGGTAGACATGTTCCATCCTTGCCAACAACTGCTGAGCCTTCCTCAGGTCTCCACCGGAAATGCGACCCCATTGCTTTGCGAGTTCCTTGTACTCGTCGTCTATGCGAAGAAGGACCTCTCGCCCCGCCGCGTGGTCACGCGCAAAGGCGCGGAGGAGTTCAAACGACTCCTTCCCACGATCACTGAGAGGAACATAGCAAAACAAAATCCGATCACTTAAGGAGAGGTCGGTTACCGTCTCCAACTCCTTGGCTATTTGTAGCAATGAGCGCGAAAGATCGCAGGGGAAAAACAACTCGGAAGCTTGACAACACGCCGTAAACTCCTTCATACGCGTATAGAATGATGTTGAATTTTCAACTGGCACCTTCCCACCCTCCTCCAATCCACGTAGCCTAATGAAGAGCTCAAGTATGTCAGCTGTGGGGAGAAGTCCCGCCTTTTGCAGCGGAGTTATACGACTGTTGAACGCCTCCGACACAAGTGCGAAGTCGTCCGAGTCAAGCGTCGTACATCGGCCCACCTGATGCGAGCGCAATAGACCAAAACGACCTGCGCGACCAGCCACTTGTAAAATAGTTGCCTGCGGCAACACAACCACCTGCTTTCCGTCAAACTTCCTCATTGTTGCAAAAACGATACGCTCAATATTCATGTTCAGCCCATACGCAATAGCGTCTGTGGAGATGAGAACATGCCTTTTCCCACCGTTTCCCTGAATGCCGTCTTGTACACCCTTGTTAAATGCATCGGCTTGAGCCTCACGCACTGAGAAAGGCATGGATCCGTAAATGCAGTGTGGGACTACCCCGGGAATGCTTTCGAGTTTTTTCTTCATTTCAAAAATGGCCCTTCGAGAGAAACAAACCAGGGTATCGCCGTTTTCTATTCGTCGTAGGTCCGCCTCCAATGGGGGGCATACTTTAAGTGGAACAAGCCGCTTATGTTGCACGAGCTCCAGCCTAGGCAGTTCACGCGTCCTATAGAGCAGCTTACGTATAAGCGAAATAGCACGCTCCTCGCCACAGAGATGTATTTCCCGCGCCGGTAATCCGAACAGGGCACGTGTCCATGCCCACCCCCGGTCCCTGTCGGCAATCAGCTGCACCTCATCAATCACCCCCACATCAACCTGGTAATCAATAGGTGTCATTTCAACCGTACACGAAACATGCTCTGCGCCCCCGCCAAACCGCCGCTCATCGCCGATTAACAAGTCACACGGCACGCGTGCGTCAATCCGCCTCCACACTTGTGCTGCAAGTGCCTTTAGCGGCGCACAGTAGACACCACTCTTGGCCTTCACCAACGCCTCCAAAGCGGCATGGGTCTTTCCACTATTTGTGGGGCCATAGTGAAAAACAAATCGACGTCGCATAAAGCGGGCCTTTGGGTACCAATCCCATGGTTCATGCATTGTCACCTTCTCTGGGGCTTTTCGGGCAACGTACCATCTTTCGAATTGGGGTAAAACGACAGCAATGCGGCCAAGAATACCAGGAGCTCCTGACAACTTCCCGAGCCAGGCAGACCCTTCCAGCAGGGAAGCATCTCTGGCAAACTCGCCCAAGTGACGCAGAGCATTTTCTACCGATGACTCGTGGATGAGTTGGCGCAACTGCTCCCGGGCGGAACTGCTACGATAAATGTGCTCGCAGGTCAGCTGCAACAGTTCCCGTTGACTCTGAGAACCACAAGCCCGTCGCTGCCGCAGTGTTGCGGGGAGTGCCACCAAAACCCTCCGCATGATTTCTGGGAACCCCAGCGCCTCCGCAGACGACGCACCCGCCTGTCTCACCGGCCCCGTCCAACGTCACTCTTACTTCACGCTGGGGCTGCGCAGTGCAGACGCACACACGCACACGGAAGGAAGCCACGCCGGAGCGAGTCCGAGAACAGCACCAATAAGAATAGACAAAACAAAAAAAAAGGGGGGGGGAACAGGGTAGATTCAGAGTGTAGCCAACAAAGAAATAAAGAGCATAATCAACAAGGGGAAAACGCAATTACTCCATCTCATCCCAACACTTCATGGCCTTGGGGAACTCCAATAGTGGGATTGACGGCGTTTAACGGAGGGAGCTCGCGAGAGACATTTCGCCCTTTTCCAGGCGTGCCAGAACATCCCTCCTTTGTGAGTTAAAATATATCCTTCTTCCTCTTGCTTTCTCTCTCCCTCCCTCCTTCCTGTTCCTCATTCCCTCTCACTTCCTTTTTTTTTCACGTGTTTGTCTGTGCTGCTTCGTCCCTTATTTTTAAAGTAGTAATAAAACTGTCGAGCCGTGCGCCGCACACCCTACCGCAGCCAAGCCCCACCCATCTACTTCACCTCCTCGCAGCTTTGCCACCACACACGACCGTGAGGACAACAATTATATCTCAGCTGGGGTCCCGTGATTTATCTAACCGTGCAACCCGACAACGTTCGCGCTGCCGCGGCATACCCCTGCATGTTTGTCTCTCTTCGGAGTCCCATTCTACCGGACGTGTGCACAGAAGCTGTGAGATATAAAGGGAAAAGAGTCAAACTGGGCGAGCCGCTCTAATTCTCTTCTTCATTTTCGCAATTTGAACGGTAGGCTGCCTCCATCCCTTCATCCGCCTCCCCAAAAAGAAAGTCCTTCTCGTGCTCCCGCAACAGCTCCACACTGCGACGCAGGTCAATGAAAAGAGAGTAAACCTTCTTGATATCGTGAATTGACACCGTCGAGGCCCTCCGTTTTTGGGTGACCAAATTGGCCGTTGTAATGAGCTGAAGGACATAGCGCAAAGATGTACTCTTACCAAGCATGGTAAGCAGTGCTATGGCGTCCTCATCCATTTCCACGTCTTCTTCTTCACAGCGAATGCGAATAATCTTGCTAAGCTCAGCCTCAGAATACGGCTTGGTCGTGATAATTACCATACGGTCGAGCAGGTCAATGGGAATGCCATGTGGCGCCTTGTACTGCGTTCCACGGATGCGTGAAATGCCACGATTGGAGGCCATAATTACAACCGGCGCAAGCGGACTCTCCAACGCACGATTCAGCCATGAAAAACACTCAATGTCCAGCATATGAACTTCATCAATAAATAAGACGCCAGGTACAATTTCGCCTTTGCCCTCCTCACGCCATTCAGCCACACGTTGATCAATCTGTTCACGCACCTCATGCTTAATCTCACCCGTATCACCAGCAAACAAGGCAAGGAATCCTTGTTGCCTTGAATTGATGACATCCACTTCATGAAGCGTCACTGTATGTACCACCTCCTTTCGCTTTGACAACTCTCCTTCTGGGGTCTGAACAAATCGTGTGTTAGACGACATGGCATCATAATCCTTGCTGCGCACAAAACTTCGACCCAGCTTATTAATTCGTCCCGTCGCTTTATCAATGGTTATAACATCCCCGACCTGGATCTTTTCCTTCTGAAGACTCTCAATCATCTTAACCCCAAGGTCAAACGTTGATTCCATGTCGGAGGTCTTAAGTACCAACTGGCCTGTGCGCCCCTTCGCTTCGGCAGGATTCGTAGAGGGTCGCTCAATGGATATCTCAACAACTTCACCCTCTATGATTTCCGTCTCCTCCTTGATGCGAACGCCGATGCTTCGGCGAAACGCCTGCGTGAGAGCCTCCGTCTTTGACATCTCAAGCGAAAAAATCTCACTGCCAGCAATCATGGTAAACGGGGTCTCGGGACCAAGTGCTTGTGCCATTCCCATTGCGATCGCCGTCTTGCCTGTCCCAGGGCCACCGGCAAGAAGCACACAACGGCCCGCAATCTTTCCCTCCCTGATCATCTGTACCACCACACCAGCGGCGCGGCGCCCTTCCACCTGCCCCACCATTCCCTGACTGCTCACGCGCGCCTCAAGGGCGTCGTCAAGGCCCAGGCCACGGATGTGGGAATGCGCCCCAATGCGCTCAACACGTGTGAGGTCACGCGCCTCCTCCGTGCGGATTTTTGCCTCCGTCATTGCTTTGCTCGATGGAAAAATATACGGAAGAAAACACCTTCTTCACCTACTTCCCTCCTTTCTAAACCCGCAGGGTGAAAAGCGATCCGAGAAACAAAAAGCAAAACAAAAAAAACGAGTCAGAAAGTCATATAAGAAAAAAGCAAATGAGTGGCGTTTCTCTGTCTCTCTCTCTCTCCCTGTGTGTGTGTACGTATGTATGTGTGTGTGTTGGAGCCAACGTGATCAGTTACTTTGTTCATTTTAGTCTCGCCCCTCAGATACAACGGTAAACCACAATAGGGATAAAAAAGAAAAGGGAATAAATGATGTCAGCCGCTGTCAAGTCTTTAAATTGTCCAGTGGAGTGAAGTTATTAGGAATCCACTGCAGCGGCTCGGCCATCCGACTCCTCCAACCCGTAATCGGTAACGTTGTCAATGAAATTGAAATAGGTAAATACATCCCCGCCTTTTTCTTTCTTTCTTTTTCCCTTCAATTTCCTACCTTTTAAGGCGAGCCCCTAAAGTTTGGAGGCGGCGATCGCCTTCTCCGAGAGCTCAGTAAACTTCTTCATGGCCTCCTCCTTGCTCAGCTTCTCGCAGCCCTTGTAGGCTTTCCATTTAGCATAGGCAACTGGATTCATGCGAGAAGGTTGAGGTCGTTTATTTGGACCATGCATGGCCTGGTTCCACAACCCGTACAGCTCAAGCTTTCTCGAAATGGACATGGGCGGGCGCGTCGCTTTCGTCTCCACAACCTTCGCCATCCGTCGAAAGCGCTCCTCAAGTGACTCACTGGCCATAGCTTACTCTATTAAACTTCACCCCATGTGGGTCAAAGCAGAGGCGGCAAATGCGTAAACATATATGCATTACGTATGCATCGTAAGTGAGCATCGCAACAAGCACAGTGGCTATTTCACCATCCGCCCTTCAGGCAAGGAGAAGATATCAGGGATGAGGTCAAACTCGCAGATATACACGTGCAAACATGCGCAGTATCTCTTTCGCCTTCTCTCTTTCTCTCTCTCGCACACACAGGCGATACCTCAACAATAAATATATATGGCCTCCGCGGAGTGCAGTTCTAGGCACACTACACCGTGCGCACCACAAAGCGTCCCGCTAATGTGACGTACTTGACGCCCTTGTACGGCTTTCCTATCTCGTTCAACACCTGAACACTATCCACACGGATAGGGCTCAAAAGATGGTTTGGGATACTAAACTCAACCACGGCGGCATCACCTGTGAATGCGACCACCCCCTCCTTTCCCTTTTCTATTGCAAAGGTGAATTCGCCGCTCAATGAACTAGTCCCACGGCTAAGCGTCCCAACGTTCCATGATAAAATGCCTCGGGGTCTGGAAAAGCTTGTGGTCCCCTGCGTGCTACTATGCACCTGCACCGACTCCGTTTGGGGAGGGAGCGGAAGATGGACGACAACCCTGTGAATTCCGTAATCCCTGCTTTTCAGTGTGAGACCCCCGCCACGAATCCCCACCACGCAGTTAAAACGGCCGCCTGATTTGTCAAACGTAACTTGTGGAGTCACGTAGAAAGGGGCCTGCGCATTATGAAGTGGCTTGCAGAGATACTCGAGAAGCGCAGATTTTCCATCGGGGGGAACAAAACTAATGACACGATCCGCCTCATACCGGTGTCGACGGACACATCGATGAAAGGCAACATCATCGACGAAGTCCATGTTTGCCATGCGGACGACAACGTCAGGCATCCCACTTAAGCGACAGTTAATGTTCACAGCCCCACGCACCACAGCATGCAGGAGATTCCCTTCGCAGTCAACTATGCAGTCCAGCTTCTCCACCACGTCGAAGAAAATCTCATTGGAGGTGTGCCTCGTCATAGGATCCCGCCAAGGGACAGAGCGCACCCCCAAATGACGACGCCGTACCTTCGCCGGGGCGTCCAAGACGGTCCGAAACTTGTTCTCTAGCGTCGGTGGCATGACTAACTCCTCCAGGACGTGCATCTCTGTTGTCAGAGGATAGCCATTGTCAATAAGCTCCTCCAAGAGCTGATAGACCACAGAAAAGTTCTCGCGGAGTGTATTTTCGGAGAAAACCTTAAGGTACTCCTGTATCACCCCCGCAATCAGGGAGAGAATTTCAATGACAAGCAGCGGAAACCCCTCGCTTGTCACAATCGCCAAGAGGAGCACATCGTTGCGGCGAATTTGCACAAAGGCAAAGCGGCTGTAGGGCGTCACCGCGGGGGCCTCCTCCACAGAGCGAAGTGGCAGAATACACGTCGTCCAGAAGTCTTCAAGGATGGTGCGCGGCAGCTTCTCGCGAAACTGCTTCTCAATGATAACCTCGCCGTGGTAATTCAAGAAGAATAAGCTTGAGATCATGTTGGTCTTCCCTCCCCACGCCACGTACCTCCGTTTCCCTTCCTTCTCCGCTCACGGGCGACCAAACAGAAGCTACCACCCCCTCGTCAACACAAACAGCGGGCTATATCGCACAGGAACACACAAAAAAACGCGAAGAAAACGCACGCTTAAGAACAAAAAAAAACGCAAAAGAAAAAGACAAACAAATAAATGCTAGGCCGCATTGGCAAGAGGAAAAAGGCAGAGCGACAAAAAGAGAAAAGAGAAAAGCCGAAGTAACTATGCAAGACAGAAACCAAAATAAAACACAGAAGCAGAGACCAGCAAGACACGCACAAAAAAAAAAGTGAATACAAGTTGAGAGGAAGGAGAAACGGAACGTCCGCCCCTCCAAAACCCCTTCAAGATCCAACACCACCACAAAAATAATTACGACTTATGAGTCCAAACTCCCAAAAGGAAAATGTCTTCTGAGTGAAGCCGCAACAAAAAAGAATAGAAAAAAAAAAGAAAAACAAAAAGCAGAACACATCGTCCAAGAGGACCTCACACAACACATAGAAACAGCACCATGAATAATTTTATTCTCTTCTTTTTTCAGTGAATTGTTCCTCTTCTTTGCTTGTTTTTTGTCCTTTTTTCCGTGCCATCTGCGTTCTGTTTGTCCAAGACGCTGGTCATTCAAACAATTATGCATTTTAATCATGCTGTTCTTCTCGCTCTCTATTTTTATCTCTGTCTTTGTGTGCTTATCTCCTCTTCACCTCTCCCTCTCCTACAAAAAGTTAATACTAAGACGACTTCTTAGGCCGTCCCACCACGCGCTGATCCACCGCGGCCATTGCCGCCACGTCCACCGCGGGGGGCGCCGGTGTTGCTGCTGCCGCCGCCACCGCGCTGTCCCCCACGCGAGGAGCCGCGGCCGCGGCCGCCGCCCCCGTTGCCTCGGTCACCGCCACGGCCCCCACGGTCGCTGCGCTCACCGCGCTCACCACGATTGTGGTTTCCACCAGCAGCCTCGCCGGCCTCAGCCTCCTCCTGCTCCTTCACCTCCGACTCCGGCAGAGGCGGCTGGTAGCCAACGTGGTTCTTGTCGAGGGGCTTGAGGGAGAGCGTGACGAGGATGGTTGACACCTTGCGCTCCACCTCCATGTTTTCCTTCTTTCCGTCAACCGCCTCGTACTCGTCGTGGATGACCTCCGACGAGATGTCGGTCGTCTGGTGCAGGCCGACCACACGACGCTTCACAATCTCCGCAATGTTCACCG